CCACCCCCCTATAGAAAAAAACCCTAAAAAAAAAAAAAAAAAAAGGAATAGAACCAGAACTCTGAGCCCAGCCTCGGTGGTGCAGTTGGTAGTACACTAGACTGCAGCGCCAGAAGCCATATGACTGACTATGGGTTCAGATCCCCAAGCTGGCCTGAAGACACGCCGGGCACATATGTGCAAAGACACCCAGGATTCTAAAAGCTGGAGGGCTGGGGAAAGGGGATTACGGATAACGAGACCCTGTTGAGGGCTCTCGCTCCTTCTCTCTTTCTTTCGCACACGTGCTTTTTAGCGTTGACAGAAGATCAGAACTCTGGGCTTCAGTACCCACAAGCAACATTTACCTCCAGTCTTTTTTTTTTTGGACAGTTTTTTGCTACAGGGTGCATGCGCTCACCAGAAAAACAGAGACAGAGAGACAGAAAGCGAGAAATCCCCCCCCCCCAGGGGAAATGGCCACTCCGCAATCCCTTCTCCTCCATTCTCCTCTTGGGATTTTGGGCACGCATGCACACGCACCCGGCGTGAGTTTAAGCCACTGAGTCCGGGATTCAAATCACAGTCAACTACATGGGAGTCCAGCGACATAGCCATTACACCAACTGCTGGTCCCACCTCCAGTCTTGTACAATCAGAAACCTGGGCTGTCTGAGCCCAATTGTCCTAGGAGGTCTGGAACAGAAGAACCGTGCGGTGGCCGTGGGTAGCCCTGGGCTCAGAGACCCCTCTACCCAGCTAAATGGACACAGGCAAATCCCTCCTCTGAGCCCTATTTCCTCACCTGTAAAATAAGGGCGACAGAAATAAATCATTGGGTTGTCGTGAGGTTTAAATGAGGGCAAAGCACATTGCCTGGCAGGTAGGAGGCCTCGACGCATCTTACTTAGCTATTTTTAATCAGTTATTTGTATTTTTCTAGGTTGTTTCCCTTCTGACTCCCACCTCCTTCTCATCTTAACTAGAGGTTTTGAAAATGCCGACCGCCTCAGTAGTATTAGGAGATGCTGGGGAAAGACTGCATTCTTTCTGAGCCCAGGCTGAGAAGGAGGGACAGGGAGAGGAGGCACTCTGTGGCTGCCTCCTCCTGGCTGGCCCTGGGCTTACAGACACATGGCACTTGGCACTTGAACCCTCGGCAGGGCTCGGATGGAGAATCAGCCAGAAAGGACTTGCCCAAGGTCACGCGGCTTGAGCACGTTGGAGGTCAAACCCAGGACTTGTCTGACATAGAAACCCAGACTGGCAGCAGGTGGCTGTCCTGCTGGGGACCTCCACTGGGTCAGTCCTCTCTGTCCAGAGCCTCGCAGGTTGTGGGGGTGGTGGAGGGGGGCAGGGGAGCAAGCTCATTTCTCCAGGTCCTTCCTTTTCAATTCAGTGCAGTGGAAGCATCTCAAACCTCTGTTCCCACAGAGGGAGGAGCTCCTGTGGCTTGCCCTGGTCTGCAGTCTGAGCAGCTCAGAGCCAGGTCGGAGACAGACCTGGACACGCCTCGTGCCAATGGGCGGCAGTGGCCACTCTGGGCATCTAGAGGGGAAATTCATGGACGCAAGTCCCCGAGAATCTGGCTTGCCTGGGCTCTGTTCTCCCAGACGCACCTTCACCCCGGCATCGGACAGGACCCCCTAGTGTGCACACACACAGACACTTGCTCTCACACACTCACTGACTCACGCTTGCTCACCACCCTACTTGTCCTCTAATTGCCAGGAAGCGGAGGGGCTGGCTGTCCCCAGCTCTTCCTGCATTCCTCGGCAGCTCCCCTGACCTGGCAGGACAAATTATACCCTGGCCCAGCAATAAAAGCCACTTTCCGAAAAAAGAAGCTTTAGGGCCCTGAGAGACGCAGCTAAGTCTGTCTCTCGTGGTGCCTGACTCAGGAGGCGGTGTCTGGCCCAGAGGCGACAGAGCCTGGTGTCCCTTTAAGCAGGGAGTACAAATTCTCATCCCAGTCCCTCCCTCCTGCTCTTCCTGACGTCAGCAGAGAGGCGTGTGTGAGTGAGTGAGGGGCTGAGGGGCCGCCTCCTCGCTCTGTCTCTCTCACACACACATACTCACACACACACAGCTCATCTCCAGACCATCCCCTGCCTGCCCGCCACACGCAGGCCGGCACAGTGCTGCTGCAGCTCAGGAGGCGGTGCCTGGACCCCAGCTGCCAGGGAGAGGTAAGGGGCTGCCGGGGACAGAGGGCGCCCTTGCTGGAAACTGGCACAACATGGGGTGGGGGGCAGGGCTGGGAGCTGGGGGCTGGACCAGCCAGCTCGTGCACGGAGGGGATGCAGGGTGTGGGTGAGCCCACCAGCCTCGCCCCCCGCCTCCTCTCCCCTTAACCCACAGGGGAAGCCGAGGCTGTGTGGCTCCCAGGGAGCATGTCTGTGCGTGTCTGTCTGTCTGGGACTTGTGCCTGGCTCTGGAGGCAGGGAATGGCAGACACCTGCCAAGCCGTAGCCTCCTGTCTGGGACCCGGGGACTGAGACCCTGAGAGGAGCACACAGCAGGGGGCTGCGATGCTCTTTACCCCTGGCATCCGGGGCTGGGCTGGGGCCTGCGGGCAGCGGTGGACCCCACAGCTCTCAGCCCGCCTGTTCTCTCCCCAGCATGGTGGGGATCGTTGTGCTAACTGGCCTGCGGGGAGGAGGGGGGCTCCATGTTATGCTCTCCTCTGAACCAGCCCCACCCAGACCCCTTGCTTCTCCACTAGCTGCTGGTCTTGCTCTGCCCTCCACCCTGGCCAGGGCACAGCCCTCAGCAGGCAGGGGTGATAAACCAGGGCCTGAGGGCCACCCCTGCTGTGGGATGCAGGGATGCAGGGTGGCCTGCTGGCACCCAGCCCCTCAGGGGCCTGACCCTGGCACAAGGAGTCCAGGCGGAGATAAGGGGCGACACTGGCATCCACAGGGAGACAGCAGGTCCCTGCCAAGCTGCCAGCCTGCAGGCTCTTCCCAGGAGAGGGGAGGGGCGCAGAGCGAGAACAATAATAAATTCAGAGTGTGAACTGCTGCATCCGCTGGGGCTGGGGGAGGGGAGGAAAGTGTGCCCGGCAGGGGTGGGCAGGGGTGGGCAACCTCCAAGAACCTGGCACCGCGCTGCCTGGACGGCATCCAGGGGGGCCTCTCCCTGGGAAGGAGTGTCTCCAGACCCCTGGTGGGGGGGGGCAGGGAGACAGTTTCCCAAAACTGACTCCATCCCAGAGGCCTCTGGGCCCTTGGAATTCTTAGTGTTCCTCCTCCCAGCTGCTCCCCGTCCTCCTCTCCCCAGTTCTTTGAAGTCTTTTCCAAAAATACCTATTTTCCATGTCTGCCCATCTTGATCTGTCTGCTCCCCAACCCCCCAAAAAGAGACAGGTGTAAGCAGAAACTGGCTGCACCATGGCCTGGGAGGGGAAGTTGTGGCCACAGAGGCCTCTCCAGGCCTGGGGAGAGATGGCTGGGCCATATTCATGGATGCCCATTGGCCAGGAGGCACCAGGAGACACGCACCGACCGGCCTGTCCGGAGGCCACTTGCACCAGGGCAGCTCCCAGCAGAGGGCGCTCAAGGCCCAGTTGAGCAGGCCATGTCCAGGGTGGCAGGAGGGCAGGGGCACAAGCAGTTCAGACCTCTGTCCATGCCGAACAGCAAAACAGGGCTCGAAGCAGCAAGAGGCTCTTCCTATGCCCCCGAGTCAGTGAAACCATAGTCACGAGGGGGGCTCCCTGGAAAGCTCAGGGCTTTGCGGTCACACTGATTTGATCTCAAGCTCGGCCATGCTGTAGGTGACTTTGACCAGTCTGTTCTTTTCTCCAGGGAGACCCAGGGTGGGAAGCGACTTGCCTAAGGTCACACAGCCAGCAGAGGCAAAGCTGGGATGTGAAACTGGCTCTCCTGGGGCCGGCGTCCCTGCCATCGCCAATGCCAAAGAAGCCCGAAGCCGCCCCCCAGGGCAGCCTGGGCATGTGGGTCTCATAAATAATTAAGCTCAAGTATTGGCTGGAGCCTCACACACCTGCGTGCACACACACACACACACACGCACCC